TTCTCCTTGGCTTTTCCAACTGCTGAGACACTCTGCATCCTGACTTCCACTTTGTGCTTTTCTTCTCATGGTCCCCTTGAATGCCACCTTTTTAGAGAGGCCGTCTCAGGCTACTCCATCTAAGTCAGACTCCTTCTCTTAGCCCCAGTTACTCTTTCACCTTCATCTGTTGATTTCCTTCAAAGCAAAGCCCTGAAAATCTAATCGTCTTCATGTTCATTAAAAAAAAAAAAAGTTTGTTGACTAATCAAGAGATGATGTTATTAAATATAAGTCTCTATTAATGGCTACAAATATGTTTGCACATTTAAAAGCAGAGTGTTTCCTTCTGTGGAGGGGAATCAGGAGACTGGAGATCAGGGGAGGGAGAGAAACTAACTTCATTGGATATTATTTTATACTTTGACTATTTTACTATATGCATGTTTTAAAAAACATCAAAACATTATTTTAATAAAATCTCTTTTATGATGGGTTGCCTCATTTTAAAATTTTTAATGATTTCATCAGGTCATTGGCTGTCTTAGGAGAACTGGAGGCTGTGAGCAGCCCTCTTGAGAAATTTAGTTGGCTTCCCTGGATCATCAGGAGTCCAGTAAGATTCTGTAGAAGGCTCTTTCCTTTGTTTGCTTCAAGAAAAAATTAATAGCTTTAAATACATATTTAAAAAGAAAGCCACATGTGAATCCCAAGAAAAAGGCACAATGCCATCAGATGCCTCAAAATACCCTGAGATACAGGATGCAGGCTGTATTTAATTGCTTGCCCTGCTCAGGACTGCAATTATTCTGCCTAAATTGTACAGATTTCTTTTAAATAGCTTTCACGTTCTTTGTCACAAGACATCTAATTGGTAACAGCAAAATAATTCACTAAAATAAGGGCATAAACTTCTGACCTTTAAAATTCAAATTTTAAAGCCAAAATACACTTAGGTATGATACTTTAGCTTAGCATGTAGTACAATGTAGCCATAGAAACCAGAAAGGGTACAAAATCACTTGCTATTTGTGTTCTTAATAAAAGGAATGATGACAATAAATGATTTTATTAGTAGTACTTTTCTAACTTGTTGGTTAGGAAGCTTTTTAGTTTTTTTCCCCCTTTCAGCAAATCCTGTAAATTAAATGGCCTGACGACAACGTGGATGGACCTTGAGTTAATCATGCTAAGCAAAATAAGTCAGACAGAAAATGTTGAAAACCACATGATATCAGTTATATGTGGGATATAAACCTAAAAGCAACAAATGAGCATGACAAACAAACAGAGACTGATGGACATGGACAATAGATTAGGTAGGGGGAGTGGGGAGACGGCATTGAGGGAGGTAGATGGGATTAAAGGGGTCAAATATGTAGTGACAGAAATCTAACTGTGGGCAGTAAACGCACAATGCTATATATGTGTGTGTGTGTGTGTGTGTGTGTGTGTAGGGGGAGTGGGGAGAGGGCATGGAGGGAGGTAGATGGGATTAAAGGGGTCGAATATGTAGTGACAGAAAGAAATCTAACTGTGGGCAGTAAACGCACAATGCTATATATGTGTGTGTGTGTGTGTATGTATATATATGTGTGCCTTACTGTTGGAATATATATATATCATACTGTTGAACTATATATATGCCTTACTGTTGAACTGTTGAATTGTACATTTACTGGATTTTGTAACCAATGTCACCATAATAAAAATAAATTTAAAAAGAAAAGAAAAGAAATGGCCTGAGACAACAGACCCATTTTTAAGTGTTTCTGTGTGTTTTGATTCTTTATCTAGGAGACTGGAAGCCAGCTCTTCACTTCCTTTCCCCCTTTTTCAGTTTAATAGCTATAATTTAACTGACTTTAACCTTAGGCCATTATATAGGAATAATGTCTATCTGAGTTCCAAAGTAGTTCCACCATCCACTCCATGTGGTACCTTGCATGAATTGTTTAATTTCGGTTTTCTTCTGTAAAGTAAGGACAATAGTACTTAATGGGAATATATTGAAATTCATATTATTTTGCAATGGTGCCTTATTCATGGAAAAGTCTCAGTAAATATTAGTTGGTTAAATTAATGGGAAACAGATGAAGCTCATCTTTCATGGTGCCACAAAATATCTCCAAAGTTTGAATTTTTTAGAAGGAAGAGTTAGTAAAAATAAAATAAGCATTTAATAGTCATTATATTGTAATTCCTTCAAGTCTTCAGACAGTCCTGAAGGGATGAAGGCCTAAGAATCATCATCTCTTGCATGTCAGTTTATTGGTTGTACTCTTGTAGCTCGCAGTTTATATTTATGTCACTGTAGCATTTCCCAGGGTTTAGAGTATGCAGAAAACTTGGCTTCTGTTCTTCAAAAATATGCCAGGTCTGTGTAGAGAGCTTGCCATGTACTATCTTTCATTCATTCCATAAACAATTATTAAACACCTATCATGTGTACGGCATCCTGCCATAGTTACATACAACAACAAAGGCCAAGGATAGTCCAGAGACTAAGCCTCACATTCTTGAAACCGCTCTACCTAGGAATGTTACAGATATAGTCTGAGCTCCAGGACAGAGTGTTGCCAGAGCCATAGCCATTTTACTGAGCAGATTCCACACCGGGTTTCTTAAAGGCTTTCAATTTTTAGTGTTTTTCTATTTTTATTTAAATTTTGAAAGAATCTACATACATGACTTTTTAAATTTAAGAACTTCTATTTATATTTTAAAACAAGTCCCTTATTCGAAAGCTGACAGTATTGAAATGATAACAGCAAAAGAAGAAAAGCAATAAAGTTTTTCCTACTCTATTTGCTCAAACTTTATTCAGTACTGTACATTTCTGAAATGACAGTGAATTAGAAGCTCTTAAACCTGTCTATGCCTCTTTATCTATCTTGGGGTGGAGCATAATTGAGGATTTGACTTTTCTTGGGTTTTTTTTTTTGTGGATTCGTTCTCTTATTTTCTCAAGAATGGTCCAATGCTCATATATCTTAGGGTGTGCTCCAATCTGCTGGTGTTTCTCCCTAAGATCTCCCTTCTTGGGGAAGGCAGAGAGGATCATTAGATGTCTCTGTTCTTTCTAGGTCTCAGGCACAGTGCAGCTTTTGGCTTAGGAATTGTCCTGTCCTGTACCCCTGGGGTCCTGAGGCACATTTGGCAATCAGCCAAGGATGCCTTGATAGTCTGGACTGACCTTGAACTGGCTTATAGAGCCTCATAAAGTAGTCCTCTGCAATTTGAATCAGACTACCTCAAAGGTCTCCTTCCTTCCAGGGAATTCCTTTTAGAGAATGGATGAAAATAGGAAATGGATGAAAATGACCCTTAGAGTAACTTCCTCTGATAAGAGCAAGAATTGGCTTGTGCTGGTTAGTTATGCTGTTTGTCCCCCGCCCCACCCAACCAATCCTGGTACCCACTCTCTGCCCTCCCTACCCAATCTCAGTGTTGGACTAGGTTCCAGGCTTCCTTGTCCTCTGGCTTCCAGTTGAGTTTGGCCAATGGGAGGCAGTTCCAGGAAAATGGAGGGTGGTAAGAGAGAGAGTTCAGGGTATTTCTTCCACTGCAGTCTCCTCTAGGTGAGGTAGTTCTGGCAGTGGCTGCTTCCTCATCAGATGTAGCTTCTGTTTTTCACTCCTTCTCCAGGACTCCAGCTCCCTTCCTTTACTCCTACTAGTTTAGGCATGATGATATCTTTCCATTGTTGCTAAGCCCTGTGTTGATTCCCTAAACTCTGCCCATGCCCCCGTAAATTGTCCCTTCACATAAAGCCTTTTAAGTTAAAATCTTTGCATAAGCCATCTATTTTCCTCCAGAGAAAGACCTTGACTGATAGTCATACCAAGTTATACTACCTCTACCCGTTAAATCTGAAGACCTTTCCAATTAGAAGCAGTCACCTCCTAGAAAGTGTCTGTATCCACCTTCAACATGCACAACTACAAAGTCCAGGACATGAGTCAAAATTTGCTAGACCAGGGACTCTTCCAGGGCAGGAACATTGTTCTGAGCATCCGTGGATCTCTCCCACCCCAGCCCCTGGCATATACTAGGTGCTCAATGTTCCCTACAGAGGTAGCACCCTTGAGCCCCAAGAGCCTCAGCCTCAGCTTCCTTTCTCCTCCTCCCCTCCCACACCACCTGCTAAGCTGCTGGCACCTGTAGGATCTGGATCACCAGTCTGGTCAGCTGGTTTATTTCTTATTGTTCTTGTCAAAAGGAAGTTCATCCACGTGATTTTTTGCAGTATCTAGAAAGGGTGGGTACAGTATGTCCTGTGGTGAAAAGCTTGTGGAGGAATGCAGGTTTTAGTCTCCCCCCACCCCCACTGCTGCTATTCCTATGTGAGAATTGCCCTCTCACACTGTGCCCCTCAACCCCCGCAAAAGCCTTGAAACGTTTTGAGATGTGTTATTACAGTCTATGCAAGGAGACAGAAGATGACCATGAATAGCCACTGAGTGCGTTATACACCTGAGACCTTTTCCAAAACACTGCAGAGGAATTTTTATTTAATCTAGGCAGCCACAAGGCATGTTATGTTTTCAGAAACATTTATATCTAGGTAGGTCTGATTTTTGAATATTCTTGGTCAAAAGCACTTTGAACCTTAAATGCACACTAAAAGGCAATTGCTATGGTGACTGCGCCTCTGCAGTGCATTTCTCTTGAGTTTTCTTCTTTGGGTGCTTCAGCATCCACCGGGTGTCCTAGGAACGCTGCTCTGGGTAGCTCAGGCGCAGCAATGTTGGGGGGATAGCCCACTTGAGACTGGAGCCCTCCCCCATGATTAAAAACTGGAAATGTGCGCCCAAGGTAGGGTGTGTGTGTCGGGGGTGGGTGGAGGGGAGGTTCTCTGGGTGTGCAGGCCTCCAGCTCTCCTGCCTGTGCGGGGACCACGTGCAGAAGCGGCACGTGGGGGCCCTTGGCGCGCAGCCGCGGTGTGTGCTTGCACCCAGTCCCGGGGCCCCGGGTACCGGGCGTGTTTCCGTGTGCGCTTCTGGGTTGGCCGAGGGCCCCACGCCGCCCCGCTCCCCCTGTGAGTGTGTGTGTGCGGCCTCAGCCCAGTGCCCGCCGAGCGGTGCCTGCGCCCGGGAGAGCGCGCGCGCGCCCGTGCGGTGTGTCTGTGTGTGTGTGTGTGTGTGTGAGTGTGCGTGTGTGTGTGAGTGTGTGTGTGACAGTGTGTGTCAGGTGACTTGAGTCACGCAGTCTCTCTCTCCCTCCTCGGGGAGGAACTGCCGCGCTCCTGCTGAGTCCTCCGCCGGTAGGCGGGCGGGGCGGCGAGGGGGCTCCGGGCGCGCTGGGAACCGCGGGACCCAGACCTGGACGCCGCTCGCCGGGGGAACTCGCGGCCCCCGCCTCCGCCGGCTCCCGCCACGCTCCAGACAAAACCCCAATTCAGAGAGGTTGCGAGCGGCAAGCGAGGAGGCTTAGCCCCCACCCGGGAACCCCGCCTCTCCCGGGACGGCCAGCCGTGGGCGCAATGAGCCAGGTGCTGGGGAAACCGCAGCTGGAGGACGAGGACGACGACGAGGAGGACGAGCTGGTGGGGCTCGCGGACTACGGGGACGGGCCTGACTCCTCGGACGCTGACCCGGACAGCGGGACGGAGGAGGGAGGTGAGCGCGGGGTCCCCCGCCCCTCCTCGCCCCGCGCGTCCTCAGCCCGCACCCAGTCCCTTCCCTCTGTGTTTTCCCGCCCCCGGCCGGGCCAGGCGCGCGGGCCGCGGACTTGGAGCGGATCCAGGAGAGCGGAGTTGCGGGGTGGGGGTGGGGAGGGGCGCCAGAGGAGGGACCGCAAGCTGCAAAATGGGGGAGCCCGAGTGCAGGCGGCGATGGGGAGGGATCGGTGGGGAGAGCAGAGAGAAAGCGTCTGGGCAGGAGGAACGTGCGCTTGCTGGCCCCTTCCAGGGCCAGTACCTCCCCCACCTCTCATCCGAGCTCTCGGCAGGGTCTGGGGTTTGGGGAGGGAAGGGAACCGCCCGGCTCGCCCCGGGACCTCTCCCTGATTGCTGCTGTTGAAGCCGGGGTCAGATGTCGTGGCTAAAAAAGGCAGCCGGTGGCAGCGTGACTGGCAGGGTCGTCGGCAGCTGCGGGTGTCAGTCTTGTCTCGTGTCGTCGCGGGAGGGGTCCTGGGGCCGCCTAGGTTTGCGGCTTAGGACACCGGTGGAGCGGTGGGGAGATGCACCAGGTGATAAGGGAGTCGCCGAGTGGCCACAGGTTTCCTGGGTTTCAGGCAAACATGGTTGTTAGGACACCTTATCTACGCTCAGTGTCACCACCTGGACATGGCAGTGCCTTGCCCTGGAGTGAGCGCGGGGCGGGGGAGTACGTTGCGACTCAGAAACAAACTGTGTTTGCTATTGAAGCGGGATTTAACAATTGTTCAGCCTGTGGGGGTTTTTCTGCAATTAATTCTTAAGGCCTAAGAAAGTTGAGAGCTTTTTAGGATTCCAGAAGGTTTCATCTTTTTTCTCTTCCAAAGCAAGGAAAAGCCTTTTATTGTAAGGTCGCTCGGAAAGGTCAACAGAAGGAGGCCAGATAAACATAACATCTAGGTGAAGCTGTATGCATCCAAAGAAGGAACTAACTTGTCAATTTTTGACTTTGAAGAAATTGTGTAAGGGATAAAAATACCATGGTGACTGTTGATTTTTAAGAACTTCTATTAAATTAATTGAAGCTATTTTAAATTCCCTATACAAAGCTTTTCTAGGGGGAAAACAGTTTTCATTATTTTGCATATGGTAGGTGCTACATTCAATGAACCAGAATAGGAAGAAAGTTAACTAAACCTGAGCATGGTAGACGGGAGAGAAGCTTTCCAAGTCACCCTTTTTCATCATGGCCTGTCTCCAGGGAGGATTTGTGCTAATTCCCCATTTGCTTAAACTGGAGTGTGCACCTGTGCACTTCTCTCTTCTGCACTCTACATAATTGGTCCCTCAGTTGAGCACGTGGTTACATTTTTGTAGATAAAGGCGTTCAACCCTTTTGTTGGAATCCCTAGGGCTACCTTGGTAATTAAATTGTTCAGTCACTTCATTATTATTCAAATTGCTTTTGTTGGCTCCTACCTAGATTCTTGGGAGACTTCAGAGAGGTTCAGAATGGGGATGTGTTTGCAAGATGTTTGAAATGGTAGACACACAATAATAGGGTGTATTTGTGGTACTCTAAGGAAAAAAAATGAGAAAAGAGACTATATCCGGGAAGAAAAGCCCTGTTAATTTGATATTGCCTTGGGGGCCAGAGAGATTCCAGGAAAAGCACAGAATCTATTCTACATCTCTTTAAGGGGGCACTTTGAAAATTTGATTTGGGGACTTGAAATTGTAGTGAAAGTAAAGTTTTGTTTCAGGGGTGGGATTTCTCGAACAAAGGGCTTCCACAGAGCCTGGTCTTGGATGCTCCCCACTGCTCTTAACCTAAAGGCAAACCTCTCCCAGAACTTATTCTTTTGATTACTTAAGTGATAAAATCCTCCCTTTTGAGTTCTGGATCATCCTGGAATCTTGCTATAAAAGTATCGAGTATATTTATGTGGTAAGAGGAGCAATAAATGAATTCTTGCTCCCCCAAATATTCTCAGAAGACTTCCTCTATTATCTCAAGCTCCTGTTCTTTCCACGTGTTCCTGGCTTTGATTTTGGGGTTTAGGCCTGAATATAGAATTTCCATCAGAACATTTGCTCTCTAGAGTTGCAGATAGGCTCCTTGGTCAGCAGTTCTAGCAAGGACTGTCCCTGACAGCTGTCAAGTCAGTTGATCTGGCCCCGAGGAATCAGGATGAGGAGAGAGGTTGAGAGTTGCCACTTCCATTCCTGGGACCTTAAGGTGCCACCAAAGGTTCATCCCGATTTCTAATGGGCCCTGGGCATGTGTTGCATTATAATCCTTTGTTACTTTGGGTAAAATTTACATTTACTTACTCTCAAACTTAGAAAAACATGGAACGTTGGGGAGAAAAAGGACTGACTTACTCTGAGGAAAGATGGATATGGTGCACTTTGAACCATAAACAAAGCTTTTCTCTAATGAACCTTTCTCCCCCTTCTCCTTCCTAATGGACTTGATTTAGTGCCTGTATTCGCTCAGTGGAGACTTGGCACTTCTTCCATGAGGTTCAGAAATCTACCCTGATTGGTGGGATGCAAGACTGACAAGCATTGCTGTGCAAAAAACGTGGATTGAAGGTGGATAGTGTTTTTCCTTAGTCTTATAAGGAACCTTTGATCTTATTTTTAAATTGAGCATCTTGTGAGTTTTCCCACATCGTGCTAAGTTTGAAAACGTAATGCTGCTAAGGTGAGACTTAAATTGCACTTCCCTGGTCTGCACTTAAAATTTTATTCCGTGAATACCAAGAGTGTTCCTGGGTATTTTAGTGATTTTTTGACACATGGATTTTTAAATCTGTAGTAAATTACTGTACTTTAAAAACTATAATAACAAGGAAAGCAATTAAAAGTTCATATTTAATCAAAAAGCGAGATTGTTTTTTTCTCCAAAGTCCCAATATTTAAAGGAAACTTGGCTAAGACAGCTGCTCACCCACAGTTCAGCTAAGTGTGGTCTTGTTTCCATAGCAGCCTGAGTACTCTCTTAGGGTCTGAGGAAGTGACAGTTTAGGTGGTTACTGGAGGCAAAAAAAAAAAAAAATTCCAGGGACAGCAGGTGGTACTTCCCTGATGGGTGTAAATGTGGTGAATCCAGCAATTCACATTTGTTAATCATTAGTGTCAGCTATTTTTTTCCCCTTAAAATAATTTAAAGATTATTAGTAAATTCATTTTCTCATTGTTCTTTGAGAGTAAGCAGAGATAATTGTTCTGATATGCCAGATGACTTTTCTGCAGCTACAACATGAGCTACAAATGAGCAAGGTTTAGGAGAGGGTCAAGTTCACAGAAATGTAAGTTTCTTTCCTTGTAATTCTGCCTTTTTCAAAAAGAATTGAGATGACTACAACCCTGGCTGTAGCTAATCTCTTGGGTTCCCTTCTGGCCTGGAAATATAGAGATACAGAAAATTTGGAATAGATGGAAATACAGAATAGTTTAAAATGGTGTGACCAAAGTCACACCTGAGGCACAGTGCTTGTTTGAATGCATATAGTTAGAGAACATACTTTTATATCAGGTGCTTTGTAAACATGTTTCAGTGATTCATTGTATCATAGAATCTTGATTCTCTGCTCTTATGAGAAATCTCTCCCATTTAAATATTAGAACAGACATAGGGTAGTCTAATGGATATAAGAGGGAGAAACAGCAAGTTCTGGAGTTCGGATAAAGGGTATGGCTCTGAGTTTGAAAGACAAGTTTTTTCAGTCCCCAGGTTACCTTGTCTCTTTCAAAGTTCACTCTCTGCTTTATTCATCTCCCCACACCCATGGTTATTGTTGGTAACATAGCTTTCACTTCTTACCATAGCCACTTCTTTCTTGCTCTTTTTTCTTCTCTACCTCCTTTATTCTTCTTTATCTTTTTTTTTTTTAACTTCTTTATTCTCCCTCTTCTGCAAAAGCCTTGAAGCCCTCTTGTGATAGTGGCTTTCCCTGGTTTTGCTGTAACACTCAGAGCAAATAGGTTTCCCATTCCTGGCCTAAAACACACAGGGACCCAGTTGACATCTCTTGAGGGAAGACGCCAGCTCGATTTCTCAGTGTTTAAAATAGGGACTACATAAAACCAACCTCGATCATTCTCAAAGTAATTGTTAAAAAAAAAAAGTTCACAAGAACACTTTTCCCTTCTTGTTGGAGCATTGGTAGATCAGAAAACATTAGAAATATTATCTAATATATATGTAAAGAAAGTATTTGTGGATGGAATCATGTTTTTTTAGTTACTTGCCCCGATGTGAGATTTCATAAAGATTTGGTCCTTGCATATAAATAAAAATAAATAAAAATCACCTTTATGTCTTTGAAAAGATATGTTCTGTTTACATTTGTTTCTCCTTACTAAATAGTTAATCAAATGGACAGTGAATCTTCATGATTTTTCTATAGTCTCATTAATGGTACTATTATGCATATATTTAATTCCCTCTTGGGTTGGAATTTCTTACTGAACTCTTGGGTCTTAAATGTATAAGTAGTTTTATTGATTGAAAATTTAAAGGACCACAGATAATGTTGCAAATAGAAACAAACCAGAGGCGTCTTCCTAAAACCATAAGTAAATAGAACCTTAAGCCTTTGTTGAACCCACTGAATACTAATAGCTAAGAAATTCCAACTTTCCCTTAAGACTGAGTGAGCCTTTCACAGTAGTCACATTCCATAAAAGACCCTCTTCTTACCTAGGCTTGGGCTGGGAACATGTGTGTGTGTTTACATACATACATGCTGATAGCGACTGATAGGTGAAGAAATAAAGACTCATGGACATGTACAGGGTCGCACAGCTGGTAAATGGCAGAGCTTGGACTTGAACCCCAGTCTGGCACTAACCTAGTATTTTTTAAACCATTTTACTTGCCATGAGATTGCTACCATGTTACTCGAATTCTTTCACTAAATCTGTGTTGTATTGTCCCATTTTCGACCTGTTTAAAGGTGTTACCTCTTGGAGAATTTAGTTATAATAGCTCTCAGTTGTATAATACATCAG